TATTTACTTAGTTTTTAATTGGATGATCTATCCAGTTGTGAGAGAGGTATGTTAAAGTCACACAGTGTTACTGTATTATGGTCTGTTTGATTCTTCATATGAAGAAGGGTTTTTGTGATGTACATAGATACTCCATTGTTTGGGGCATAAATATTTACAATCATTATATCTTGTTGATGTATTATTTATCCCTTATGCATTATGAAGTAATCTTTGTCTCTTCGGATTAATCTTGGCTTGAAGTCTACTTTATCTGATATAAGACTAGTTAACATTGCATGTTTAAAAGTCCCATGGTATGTTTTTTCCCGTCCTTTCACCTTCAGTCTGGGAATGTCTTTGCTTATGAGGTGAGTCTCTTAGAAAGCATATTGTTGGGTCTTGTTTTTTAACCTGCCAGCCTATGTCTTTTAACTGAAAAGTTCAGACCATTTATATTCAATGTTATTATTGAGATTATTTTTTTCCTGCCATTTTATTTCTTCCATTTAAATTGCATTTTATTCACTTTAATTGACTACTCTTCTAGTGTAACTCCTCCCTATTCTGATTTTCATTTTTATTTTTCATTTCTTCTTCATGAAATATTTTATCAAGTATGTTTTATAGTGTAGGTATTCTAGCTCTAAATTCTTTTAGCTTCTGTTTATCATGGAAGGTTTTTATTTCATTTTCAATTCTGAAGCTTAGTTTTTCTAGGTTTAGTATTCTTGGTTGGTATCCATTTTCTTTCAAATCTTGGTATATATTATCCCAAGCCCTCCTCACTTTTAGTGTCTTGGTTGAGAAATCACTTGAAATCCTCTGAGTTGGGTTATCTGTAAATGTGACCAGTCATTTTTCTCTTGCAGCTTTAAAATTCTAACCTTATTTTCTGTGTTAGGCATTTTCATTATAATGTGCCTTGAAATGGTTAAAATGGATCTATTGTAATTTTATATATTTGGAGTCCTATATGCCTCTTGTATTTGAATTTCCATCTCATTCTTAAGGTTTGGAAATTTTTCTGATATTATTTCATTGAAAAGATTGTACATTTCTTTAACTTATATTTCAGAGCTTTACCTATCCCAATGAATTTTTTAATAATATTGTTGTAGTTATAGATCAACATGATACCTTCATTTATTTTTATGTGGTGTTGAGGATCAAATCTAGGGCTTTACACATGCAAGGCGAGTGCTCTACCACTGAGCCACAACCCCAGCCCTCAACGAATCTTAAATTTGGTCTTTTAATGTTATCCCAGATTTCCTGAATATTTTCATGGTCTAGTAATATCTTTTCTTTATGGTTGACTTTATTTTCAAATCATATACTTTGTCTTCAAGGCCTGGAAATCTATCTTCAAAGTGTTCTAATCAATTTGTGATAATTTCCATAGAATTTTTAATTTGGTTTATTTATTCTTTCATTTCCAGGATTTCCATTTGGTTCTTTTTCAGAATCTTAACCTCTTTATTGAAATGATCATTCACTACCTGTATTTTCCCTCTGACTTCATACCTTATATACTTTATTTTAGCTCATATAACATTTTAACTATGAATTTTTCTGACTTCCTTCACTAACATTTCCTCCACTGCAGAATCAATGGAGTCAGTTGCTAAAGCATTATGGGCTGTTTAGGATGGTTTGTTTCCATGCTTTTGGTATTATTTGCATATCTACTCATCTATCGTTGCATAGTTCTCACTTTTCCTTTTAAGCAAAGGACTACTTTGCGGGCTTCTTTCTCTTGAGGGTCCACTCACTAGCTTTCAGGGTACCTGGTGTTCTCCCTAAGGATCTTCCAGCACTTGAATGGCAAGCAACCTGGGCCTCCTGAGAACAGGAGAGGGACAAGATATGCAGGACTATATCATTTTGATAAGCATTTTCTCTCAGGAAGGATTTTATATGCAAAGTTTTCATGCAAATTTTAGAAAAAGGAAAGTTAATGGTAATTTTCTATAAGCCCAGCTTTCAGGAAGTAGAGGCAGGAGGATCTCTTGAATCTAGGCAACATAGGGATACCCTGTCTTTTAAAAAGAGAAAAAAAAAAAAAAAAGAAAACAGAAGCCAGAAGTTTAAAAAGTCCCATGAAAACAACAATGAAGATTAGCCCTCCTTTCTGGGATGTTTAGCTATACAGAAAGTAAGATTTTTTTCTTCCCTTCCCTTTAAAAAATTCCTTTAGCCATCCAAGGCCAACACCTTTTTGGAAACAGGCTCTGGGCTGTTGTATGTGCCATGTAGCACCTGGTAAAGTGGATTTCTCCTGACCCACAAGACCCAAAGCTGTGCGTTCAACCTGCAGCTATTTGGATAAGGTCTAGATATCAAAGGCAGGTCTACAATTCAAGCTGCTTGCAAGGCTCAGAAGTCTAGGTGACCTGCGGTTTGCTAACACCTGAGGTCAGGCCAAGTGGGCATCCTTAAGAGGCATGAGGTCCGGTTCTTTTCCAGGTGAAGAAAGTAGACAGGGAGTAGGATTCTGTATACATGTCAGGGAATCAAGGGGTACACAGCAACTGAATCAGAACTCAAGACTAGCAGGGGTGGAAAGAATGAACAGGACTCAGAGATAAGTCCAACAGTTACTGCTAACTCAGAACGGAAATTATAGATTCATATGTCATCCCATAACACTTCCCACAAACTCAAGAAGAAAGGATGTGTAGAAAGCTAGGCTCTTGAGAAGGCCAGAGAAGCATTAAATCCAGAACAAAGGAGAAGTATATATATTATAGTTTTTTGAAAATATTTCAAAATTGAGAACTAAGAAAATATTGTTGGACTCTAGACTGGGAGAAACTTGTACAGACAAACCCTGAAACTTTATTAGTGTACAATCAGAAATAATAGCTAACAAAAAAGGAAAGGGAGCCACTGCCTTAAGTATTAAAAAATACATACTAAGACTTAGTTGAGCTTTCTAAACTCACATTATGCCTTGCTTTATCCCCCTAATTCTGTGGGTTTTGTCTTCTGCTCAAAGGAAAGAATGTTAAAAAAAAATCAATAGCAAAAATGATCAGGAGCTATAAATAGTTCAACTAATCTGTAATGGTCTTCATAACCAGGGACAGACAGACAAGACTGAAAGATAGGCAGAAGCCAGCTAATGAAGGCCTTGGAACATTAAGTTAAATAGTTTGAAACTAAGCTTTATCTTAAAGCTCATCACTGACCAGTTTTCAGCAGGGAGCTGACATGACAAATATTTATTCAATAAGTAAGGTAATAAGTATAGTACTGGGGAAAACTGCTTAGACTCTGAATTTAAGAGCATGTCAAAATTTATTACTCATTACCTAGGGAATTAGCAAGCAGATAACGGCACATGCCAGTTGGAAGTGAAGGAACAAGTTTGTGTATCCCACATAGGAGTAAGAACTATCATGTGAATAGCTAGGGTGCCCCATGTAATACCAGTTTAATTCATAGAACTATAAAACTTAGGGTTACAACAATTAGAATCATCTTTTCAGATATGAACCATTAATCAGAAATAACAGGTAATATAGCTTAGAAATTGATTAATTTAGAAAACTGATGCTATTTATCAGGGATTTCAAACAACAAGGTTTTATCCCCTAACAAGGAGCCATCAGCACAGAGGTCCAGAGGTCTGCTTTTTCTCATATGGCTCTTAATAAAGTTCTTCAACACTCTGAACACACAATTCGCTTTACTTTCAGTCTGGGGGTAATAGTTCCTCCTTCAAATAGAAAATGACAACAAATCACCTTCATAAAAACTGAGGGGGGAAAGCACAGCTGTTTCAGAGCTCTCCAACAGCCCTAAGGATGACAGAGGTTTCCTTGGGACCTAAGTAATTAGAACTGAAGATTTCTTAAATCTTTTTACAGAAAGGGAATAAGGTAGCTCTCAAAAGTGTTGAAGACATTTAATGCTAAGTTTTATTTTCACTTTTTCATTACTTTGTAAATCTTATGAGATAACCAGTTGTAAATATTAAATTAATAGGTAAAAGCTTATGGCAATAGCCCAGAGTTTTTTACTCCTAAGATTTTGGAAAATATTAGATCACTGGGATACTTTCTTCTCCATTCAGTAAAAAAATTCTTAAAGAGCCTTAAAAAAAAAGGAAGGTGCCCAACCAACCTGACAGGCAACAAATTATAAGAAGGATATGGTTTGAAATGCTTCATTTTCTTCTTAACAAATTAGAGCTAGAAGGGACAACTGTACCTTATCTAGATCATCTGCCTTCCTTCTCAAAGCACATTCTTCTTAGATTTTTCAGAGAGAAAAACAGATATCTAGCTGGTTCCTGATAAAAAGGTCTTCTACTCAGGCTAGGAGCCCCATTCTAAAAAGTTACATTCTAAAAAGTGACATAACTCATTGCCTGCAGTTTTTCCTGACATGTAACATGATTTCCTGTGATTGAAATCTTACTCCTTGTTCTCTTATCTAACCCCAGGGTGAAATCACAGGACTTCATGCTGCCTTTGACCTGACAGACTTGTTGAGACAAGGATAACATAAGCCTAACAGGATCTGACTCATTCCACACACTTTGGGTACACTAATATTTAAGAAATTAAAACAATACACTGCCATGAAGTCCTTGTAAAATGGCTACTGTTGATCTATTTTCTCAAGGCCTCAACTTCATCCCAACATACTTTATAGGTTAATATAGAAGCCAGATATTTGCCAATGACAACTCTTGAACAAGCACTGGATGTGGAAGCTGTGTTTTAATTTCCTCATATTCCCCAAAAGAAGCTAAGGCTAAGGTATGCTGAGGCCAGGGCTTAACTGCATTCATTGAAAAGTAGTTTCATCTGTTTTGAGTTTCCCAGAAGGGAGCAGTGATTTTGAGAAGGAAGAGCCCTGGACATAACAATCCCTGTTCATGGGAAGCCCAGAGCCAAGAGGACCAGACCCGGTAATGATAAATAAAATTTAGAAATCTTTCCTGCCGCTCCCAAGAAATCTATTCATAAATAACAATGTGTTTAAAATAATAATATCATAACACTTACTCTCTGCTTTGAATACTGTCAGCAGATGATCTGAAATTAATTCTTCCACTGAAGATTCCAGCTTCCTTTCTCCATCAATTATCCAAGGAGTTTGTGGTAGATTCCTGGAATATTTATTGTATCTCCCTGCCAAAGAAATATCAGGTAGCCTCAATGGAACAGTGTGATGAACACAATAGGATAAAGAGAAGCAACAACTACTTACTGAGTGCCAATATCCTAGGTACTATGATGCAGAACAAGGCCTAGCCTTTAACTAATTCACTTGTTTTCCATGTATTGGGGGGCCAGCACACAGAAATGAAGATAATTAAAAATATTTAAAGTAACAATAGAGTAGACTGCTAAAGACATGATATGAATGGTGTATTAAGTAAGTTTGAAAGGAATGCTCAGTATATTTTATAATATGACTGGCTGATTGAACAAGTTATATAATATTATGGAACATACCAAGGATCATTAAGAAAAGAAAAATTATTGCTTTTATATGTGACTAATAATACTTTCAAAATAATAGTCACTGGTGACAACATATTCCAAAGAACTCAAATATAGGAAATTTTGAAGTTTTTCTAAGTTAAAACAAAAAACAAAACACCCCAACAGAGTATGACTCACTGTTTTATGAATAAAGCTATACTAAGCCGGTAGATTTTACTGCCCTAGGGCAGGCTAAGAGCAATTTCATTTCACCTATTACTATGAAGGAGCTATAACTGACTTTCTCTTTTTCTCTCTTTCTTTCTTCCTTTTTTCTCGGTACTGGAGATGTAACCCAGGGGTACTCTAACACTGAGCTACATCTGCAGTCCTTTCTACTTTTTATTTTGAGACAGGATCTCACTAAGTTGCCCAGGTAGGCCTTGAATTTGTGATCCTCCTGCCTTAGCCTCCTGAGTATGTGGGAATATAGGTGTGAATCATCGAAGCAGTTAAAACTGTCTGCTATCTAACCACTTGGGAAAGTCAATACAACAATTATTTTTTCAGGTGAAGGCCAAGTGTTTGGTCATTTGGACATAATAATATCATTTTTTCAAGTTTGCTTTCCATGTTATAAAATATCTTCAATGCTGTAGTCTTTGATCACTTTGGGTCTCCACATCTGTCTATATTTCTACCCACCTATGATGTAAACTACTAAAACCTGGAAAGTTGTCACTTCCATTTGGCATAACATTTGAAATAACAGCTCTCCTAAGGATTTTTTTAAACTATATTCCCTAAGGATCTTTAGGACAGCCTACAGAATCTAAAAAAAAGATTGGGTATTAGTGTTACATATCAAAAGAGTAAACTAACCAGAACATCATAACAACAATAAAAATAAAACAGAAAAGGAGTCAACTGAGTTGTTCAGAAAGGACAACAGTAGGTTGACAGTATACATATATTCTAGACAAAATATTTTACCAGCCACAAAAACAGCACCATGAGCACATTCAATTTCAAGAACAGTGCAAACAGCCTTTGGTGAGTTTGGAGGACAAGGAAACTGCCTGTAAAACAAAATAAATTTTACAGCTACTATTTTCCAGACATGATATTGAATTACAAAACTAAGATGAATCAGCATTGTCTGAGACACAAACAGAACCTGAGGTTCTCAAGGACTATACACCTCTCCCTAACTTTTAGTTTTGAAACAATAAAGTTATTTTAGGCCTCTGGAGTAACACTTCTAATTTATGAGAGTGGCACTAAGTTTATGAGAGTTCTGATGCTACCTTTTATGCTCAGGAGGTCTCATTTTCCCAAATGAATTTCACAGCCTTGAGATTTGGGGATGGGGGAATCCATATCTATGAAGTGGAAGCCTCTCCAGGCTCTTCAATCGTTTTGCTCTCCCTGTCACTTGCTGCTGGCTTACCTACATGATACTCAGTTATTTGGATAAAGCTAATATGCAGTAAGTGGTCCCACTTACGAAGTGCATCCCACCTGTGGGAAATAAGTCCCAACTGTCGGGGAGGGCGCTTGACCACTTTTCCTTTTGCTTTCTTCTCATTCCAAATAGACCTTGGGAATTAGATTACATGGGGGGGGGGGGGGATGTGGTTGACACTGTCCTCTTAGCTAAGAAACTTTAAACCTACTGAGGACAGACAGGAAAAAACAACATATAGCTTTATTCTCTATCCATCGTCTAGAAATTTGCAAGTTCAAAACTGGAAACTACCTGTAAATAAGATATAGATTTAACCCCCAAATGCATGGTTTGGAAATTTCCTGTGTATAAAGTAAAATTTACTCTCTAAAATTTAATAAAAATATTTTCCATTCTGAGACTCTGTCAGAGATATAAAACCCTCCTTATAATATCATTGCTTGAAATTTATTCAAGTATCTTCTGGAAGAATAACCACAATAATATTTTATTTATAAATACACTGAGAATTATAATGTAAGGTTTATTGTATTTTAGCATATTTTAACAATTTATATTTTAGAAGAGGGCACTGATTTCCAAAGAGCTGGTTGACTTGCCTAAGATTTCAACTGGGGAAACAGAGTGGACTTGATTAAAATCAAGTTTCCTGACTTCCTAGTCAGTGCTATTCCCATTACAAGTAAGAAAATTCCCCAGTCTTCTCCCTCCTCTGGAGATGGGCCAAGCTAGGACATATAGGATTAGTTAAGTAATAGAAATGGCACTGGGCCTGAGGTCCACCCTTTGTTACCCAGTTGAAAACATAAGCAAGTCAATTCCTCTTCGGATCTCAATATCCTCTTCTAAAATATAAAGAAGTTAGACTTGACTCATAATTTAAATATTAGCTTAACAAACATTTACTGAACACCACTACATGCCAGTTACTATATCAGGAACTGGGAATATAAAGATGACTAAAATGCAGTCCTGGTCCCTGAAATACATCCAGTCTTGTCTTAGAGATAATCTGAATTATCTCTAACATTCCCTTTATTCTAAAATTCCATGATACTTCTACTTACTTGCGGAAATCCTCTTCTTTTATCTTATTCAAAGCTTTCATAACTGCCATTCTAGTGAATACCGACTATATAGGGTAAAAGGAAAATTTTAAAAGACATTTTATTACCTAGACAAAAAAAAAAATCAGAGCTGAAACACAGAACATAATTGGAGAAATTATGTCATTTTACATACATAAAGGGGAAAATACTTACTATTTTCAAGAAAATAAGTAAAACTTAAGCAGTCATAATGTCAGTTCTGAAACTGGTATACCTCTACTCTTCTCTTCAATTTGATCTATTTCTGCACTACAAGGCAGACCAACAAAACATGTGTTTTTGATGGCACTGTCTCACTCCTCTCAAAATATGGCATTCTTCAAATATAAAAATGACAACATTGTAGGAAATGTTGCTTGATTTTTTTCCCCCCAAACCTCAATTCCATTTGTTAATCTCGAGGTATTGAATCAACATGGTAAAGCTCCAGGTGTGAGGGACTGGGGTTGTGGCTCAGTGGTAGAGCACTTGCCTACCATGTGTGAGGCACAGGGTTCGATCCTTAGCACTACATAAAAATAAACAAAGGTATTCTGACCATCTACAACTAAAAAAAAAAAAAAAAAAAAAGTTTAGATTGTTTCCCTCTAAAAAAAGAAAAGTAAGGAGACAATGCTTTAGACTTACTCTGCATTTCTAATTATTTCCATACACAGTATTTGACAAGTTATTAACTTCTTCCCCTAGTTCTAAATAAGCCAATTAGTAGTCAAATCAAGAAGAAAGACCCAGATATCTTTGAAAATAAACATATTATTTTTAACAACCACAGAACAAAATGGATGTTAGTAAAATTGTAGGAATGCTTAACTACAAAATACCAGCTAAGTAATGGGAGCATGAAAGATTGCCCCAACAGCATGCCATGCTATCCTATCCTGGCATAATATGAACTAAAAGAATATGATAACTAATTTGTTCACTGACATGAAAACCAGCTAACATTAGACAACAAAGGAGAATCTGAATAAAATATCCTTTTTGCGAATGTGGCCTGAAATATCTACAAAGGTTGAGTATCTCTAATCTGAAAATCTAAATTCCAGGTTAGGGATGCCTAACCAGTAAAGTATACACAAATATTCTGAAATTCAAACAATTTCCAAATCTGAAACATTTATGAACTAAGCACTGTTGAATAAGGTACACTCAATCTGTATTAATTTATGACTATCCTAATAAATAAAATAACTTAGCTTGGATTAGATTTTTTTTAAAACTAATTTCTGGAAAGTATGTATTAGACAAAAGTTTGGGACACTGCTGATACTTGCCATGGATTTTCCCTGATGGTGTAATTTGGTGGATTAAAAACTGAAAGCTGTATTTCCCCAAATGGTTAATAATAATATCATTGAAATACTGGTTCTAAATTTAAGGAACCAGTGGAACAACCCAGACGCAGGCACAAATATGGATATGTATGTGCAATGACTTCACAGATGAAGACAAAGGTGCTAAGAATTGAAAAAACTAAATGTAGCAAATGAAAATATTTAAAGATTAATTTTGGCATAAGAGAGTTGCCACATTTCCAATGCATTTTCATTTTATTGTTACCTTCATATTCAGCTCAAAAGAATCCTTACCTGCTTATTTTTGGCTGGCTTGAAACAGTCTGGTAAAATTTTACCTCTGAAATAAAATTCAAGTGAATATAAAAAGTTAATTAGTTTATTTGGGGGTAGATATAAGTCAATTAAATACATTTTACACAACATGATTGTTAAACTCAAGATATCAGAAGTAGACAAAATTAATCTCTTACATGAGCTACCCTGGTTTACCTAGAAACCTTAAGTTAGAAGGCACACTTTTAATGTACTAAAATATGACAAGTTCTGAAATGTTAATTAGAAAGAGAAACATTACTATTTCAATGAAAACCAAAAGCATTAACAATTTTACAAAATTTGACACTGTCGTTTACATGGCAACTTACAGGAAGTGGCAATCCCCAACTGTTTCTGGGTGAGCAAAGACCACACTCACTTCAAACAAGCTCTAAAAATTATAAAGACAGTTTTAAAATGAGCAAAAGGAAACTAACATCTTACAACTTATGACTGGATATAGAAATTAACTCTCAAAGATTGGCCCAGAAAAAGTGACAAGGAAAACTAGAAATATTACTACTACTCTCAAATCAGCTTGTTCACAGGGCAGCTGTAAAGGAAAATTTTAGATTGTATTTTTGTTGTTGTTCTTTCTTTTTTTTTAAACTTGTAAACCTCAGTCACTAGAGATACTACCAAGAAAGTTTTAAAGTAAAATCAAAACAAATTTGTGTAATTTTTTAGACAAATATACAAACTAGGTACAAAGATGAATCGGAATTCAATCAGAATTCAGGGAACCAGAAAGAGAGAATAACTAAAAGAAACAACTTATTCTGTCAATACTATGATTAGAATTATTAATAGGGCAAAACACATTTTATTTGCATCTTTAAAAATTCTGTATGAAGTATACATATATATGTATGTGGATATATATATAGAGAGAGAGAGTGTGTGTGTGTGTGTGTATATATATACATACATATATATATATATATATTGTGTGTGTGTGTGTTTGTGTGTGTGTGGTGCTGGGGATTGAACTCAAGGCCTTGTGCATGCAAGACAAGCACTCTACCAACAGAGCTATATCCCCAGCCCTTGTATGAAGCATATTTTAAGTGCTCAAATTTCTAATGGATTTGAGATAGATAGATCTTAATTTTTTTGTATTGTTACAAAAGTAACACCTACAAATTATAAAATAATCAAATACAGGATGGTTTTTCACTTCCACTCCACAGAAATAGAACTATTAACAATTTAATTTGTTTCTAGACATATTTGTGAATATAAACATATATATGTACATTTTAAAATATTAAACATGCTTTTGGAAAATTGCTTTATTTAATCTATTTTTCATAAACATTTTTGAATTTTAAGTGTCAGACATTTAAGTTATAGAAAATTATTCTAAAATTTAAAAAATGCTATATTCTTTTACATGCACATCTTGTACATAAAACAGCACAATTTCATATTCTATATACTTTTATCTCCACAGAGAATATATAAAATTTCACATTAAAAAAGATATGTTATACTTTGTTACAATTTGTCTTTTTTACTGAGTTACAATTTCTTGTTTTTTTATTTAGTTCTGTATTTACTGATTTCTATATGTACTAAGTTCATTGGATTGCTAATAAGCCTATTAGTTACTCTAGAATTACAATAATGAAAGAACTTTTTTTGCTCCTTATCCAAATAAAATTAAATTGAACCACGTTTTCTATTAAAGAAAATTTCACTCAGTCTGACTCTATTAAAACATTATTACATCTTTTGTTTTTTATTTTCTGTTTTCACTGATTCAACATGTAAAAGTATTTGTGCTCCCAAACTGAAATTCGAGATAAAAATATTTTGCATTCATGACTTCTCTTTATCTCATTTCCTCTTCATACTATTTATGGTTTTATTTTCTGTTCTCTCAGTATTCAGTTTAAAGGACAGTCATATGTGTTCTAATAGAAGCATAAACAGTATATAATTTAGGATTTTTTTTTTTAAAAAAACTAGCTTTGTAAGATGGTTTTGTGATTTTATCTGAATAGGGGTGTATCTGATATTCCAGGAATTTCCTTCAAGCAAAATGATGATGCAATAAAGCTATACTATTAAAATCTAATTTAAGATGAGCTAGGAATATGTTCTGTTTTCACATCCAGAAACCTATCAGGCTCTTCTCTGAAATTCAGTATTCCAGAGATTGAGGCAGTCTTCTCTGAAATTATCAAAAAGGTGACAAAGGGCTCTCAATTCAAAAGCAGCCTCTGTCTCAAAATAAACAGAAGGAACTGAATGCCAACAAAGTGGGATAGATTGAGCCCAAGCTCACTATAGTTGAATCAGTACTGCCTGTATATTTGGAGACAATATTAGCCACAGATTAACCAAAATTAAATAGTCTAGAGTTGACTCAGTACTTGTCAGTTATTTATATATTGCTTAATATCAGTAAATCTGCCCCACTCCCATGAAACTATGAATACATCAGAGGAAAAGATTCATTTCTAACTTTTTAAGGTCAATTAAGGTACATATTACTTGTTATACTCATAAGTGTCTTGGATCACAAAGAACTCTTTAGGGAATAAAAACAAAAGAGGCTTTATCTTCAATGTATGACTGTTAGAAATCAACATTTTTAAATGCTTGGAAATCCTTTACTGAATTATTTAAGCAGAAAATTCCTCTGGCTAATCCAAACCCTGCCACAGAATAAAGTAAAACTAATAAAACCACAGAATGAAATTAACAATGCTGATGACCCCGATACCTTTCCATCAATGGGAACACCCAGTTCCTCTGAAAACAGGGGGTATGTTATCCATTTGTAGGCTTCTTTTAGCTGAACTATATCATTTCTTCCCAGTGACAGACTCTGTTTTCTGAGAAATAAAAAATAATTCACTGACATCAAAAACTTCACTTTTTCTGTTAAAGGCAAGTATTTATATAATTATACTTACTATATTACACATTATATAGAAAGCAGAGAATAAAGTGAACAAAAATTCCTTACCTCATGCAACTATATTCTAGTGAAATAAAGGAAGCAATTTTTAAAGCTTTATTGACAAAAGTACACTAATCTGTTTTTCTGGGCTGGAATTGCCAGATTCTAGGATTTATACATTCTGGAAAGGTAGAAAAGAGATGATTGTTTACTGCTCATATCCCTGTTTAAAAATACTTGCATCTAGCTAGGCATGGAGGTTAACACTTGTGATCCCAGAGACTTGGGAAATTGAGGCAGAAGGATTTCAAGTTCTAGGCCAGCCTCAGCAATTTAGTGAGGCCCTGAGTGACTTAGCGAGACTCTGTCTCAAAATTTAAAAAAGGGACTGGGGATATGACTTAGTGATAAAGTACCCTGTGTTCAATCCTCAGTACTAAAACAAAAACAAAAACAAAAAAGCTTGCATCTTCTGTCTTGCTAAAAATGGGACTTAATTTTGGGAAATCAATGTAAAATCTCTCCTATTTTTCTTTGCTACTGAAAATATTAAATCCTGAAGTATTAATGTTCTGAAATGCTCATCAATGTACTTCCAGATTCTTGTCTGAAAAAAAACTTCACATTCCCCCCAAATTGACTCATGAGTCAAAAGAGATGTTCAGAGGAACTTGTGAATCATCCCTTTTAATGTCTAATTTTCAGTGATAAAAATTAGATTTATATCCATTGCAATATCCATTGTATTTTAATTCTGTAAGAATTAAAGACATTACTAACTGCAGGTAGGAAACAAAAGTAATTTAGCTAATGGTTAAACTGAATTTATCAGGGTGGGGGAAGAATATAAAGACACCACTGTTTTCTAAAAATACAAATTAAAAAATAATCTATCTACTCATTCTGTACCTAGCAGAGATTCTAACTGGTTACAGAAATGTTTTAATATGCTTTGGGATTATGGTTTAAATACCCAGATAAGCCCTATGACAATTAATCAAATTACTCCTCTACATTCAAGGATTTATTCAAATATGAAGCTTCACAAACTGTTTCTAATTCTTTGAATATCAAAAACATTCAGGCATTTAAAAGACTATCTTGATACTGTATCAACAGTTTAATGATATATACATAAACTAACATCACAGCTGAAAGTGTGTAATTAATGTGTGTGGATACATTTTTAAGAATACAATTTAAAGGATAAAATATGTAACAAAAACACAAGAATGGCTATTTTAAAAATTATTTAGATTCCAATTATTTAAAGTGCAAAGGGTTGCAGTAATTTAAGTCAATCCTAAAAATGAGTTAAAACATTATTCATTACATATTTAAGAAAATTGTTTTTTAAATCCTTCACAATACTTTGAAATATATTTAGAGCATCTTAGTTAGTCCAGTGGAGAAAATTGTCTCAAATTTTAAAACTTAAAAGGGACTAAGTATGTAGCTCAGTGGTAAAGCCCTAGCCTAGAATGTATGAGGCTCTGGGTTCAATCCCCAATATCATTAAAAAACACAAACAAACCAACCCACTCAGTTGGCAATCACATTCCAACTGGAACACAAGACTATTTACTTTGCTTACCAAGCTTAGTGTGAATATTCTTGTTTATTGAAGAAATATTAATGTTTGATTATATAGTACCACCCCAAGAAAGGAGTGTATTATATATTATATTTAGCACTGAATTTCCTCCCTAATATCCAAAAATTCTAAAACTCCAATACATTTGGTCTCTAAGAATTTCAAAAAAAGACTGTACAGGGCTGGGGCTATAGCTCAGTGGTGGAGTGCCTACCTTGCACGTGTGAGGCACTGGGTTCGTTCCTCAGCACCGTATAAAAATAAATAAAGATACTGTGTCTATCTACAACTACAAAAACTTTTTTAAAAAAAGGCTGTACACTTATGTTTTCTATGTGTTAGCAGTGTATAAATTCATTCTGACTTAGCTAGAATTTTACAATTTATTTTTTATGTCCTAGTTTTATAATTTATTTTCTAAGACCAACATAAAAGTTATTATTTTAATTTCCCAAATTACATAAGTGCCTAATACATATAAAATATGTATTTATGTATATACATTCACATTAATATACACATACAAAAAATAAACCTACTTTAATAGATTACTAATAGGCTATGCAAGTAAACTAACTAAATAAGGTTGATATAATAAAAAATTGCTTCTTTGTGCCAATTTCCCACTCTTAAAGAAAGAGAGAGAGAGAGGCAGTAGCAGTAAAAGTATTTAAGAATTGGATAGCTTGTATTTAAACGGTGGTTAAAAACTCCCTACCTAAATTACTTACCCCATTTCCTGTTTTACCAGCAACCATGCAGCATGCTGTAGGCAATTTAGTCACACCCAGAAAGAAGAGAAAAGGGGAAAAGTTAAGAAATTAAGTTCCAATATCATTACTGAAGTGCTTAACTAATTTGCTAATCTAACTTCCCTTGTTAGGAGAGGAGTTGAGTTTAAAAATTTTGCAGTGACCTCAGTCTTGTTTAAAATCAGAAATGGGGTAAGATTTCTTTGCAGTGCTGAGCTGCTGTGGCCTATGAATTCAGGGGTATCCCCCTCCTTTTACATGTTTCTATTTCTCATTAATGAAGTATGAGTGATTTTTAACATGGGTAGATTACATTTTTTCTTAAAATACCTTATTATTTCATGGGAGAAAGCTCAAAGGGACTGAATACATAGTTCCCAAAACACAGAACTGAAGGTTCCAGTTTTTTGTTTTTGTTTGTTCAGTTAAGGAAAACATTTTTAACTCTATCTACTTCATGATAGTCACACTTATATGTTCAGGAGTTAAATGTAGTAACGTCTGCAACTCACTAAGAAATACAACAAAAACTAAGATGGATTTATGGGTAGATAAATGGATGGCCAGATATATAATAAAGCAAATATATATAAAAAAGTAACAATTGTAGAATCCAATTGGCCTTGGGATGTTAACAATTCTTTAAACTTTTCTATACATTTAAAAATTCTCATAATAAAGTGTTAGGCGAATGTTCTAGGAAGGATTAATAAAAAAAAAACTGAAAAAACTGTTAAAAATGAAGATAACATTTATAACCACTGAAGTTATAAGGAGTAAATAAAATTCATGTAAAATGCTTTGCATAGTAAATATGTGCCACTGAGATTTCCCAGTTTTCCGTTAGATTCCCACAGCTTTCACTTCAGTAAAAGGTAATGACATGGCCTGCCCACAGTGTATGGCATCTTGTGAACAAGTCAATAATATTAATACCATAGTCTCTGCTTTCACAGGTCACAAAAATGGCCAGTCATTAGCATTCACATTTACTTCATGACATGGCAATACACACACACACACACACACACACAGATACATATGTACAGCCCCTCTCCTTTTCAATAAACAGGTCTTCCCTCAAATGACTGGAAGAACACCAGACACTTCTAAAGACCTGTGATCATTGAAAATATGAGGTACATTAATACGTTCAGACTTGAGTCAAGGAGAATGAACTAATCACCAGCTAAGTAAGAACTCTTCCCAGTGCCTGATTTATTGTTTTTACTCTGCATGCTACCTCAGCCTAATACCATTTAAAGTACTACAAGACCCCTTATTTCCTTCCATTTATTGAACCCCTATTTCAAAGTGTATGGGCATATACAACTCCTAGATTACTAGGAATTAGAAAACCTAGTTTTATGCTCCACTTAATTTCTGGAATTCAATTTCCTAACATGTAAAATTATAGAGTTGGACTAAGATTATTAAAATTTAAACTTTTCTGAAGGGGCTGAATGTTATCATTAGTAGACATCAGTTAATATACTGCTTTATAGTAAATGCTATTAAGATTGATAGGATTGTGAACCAGGCATGGTAGTGCACACCTGTAATCTCAGTGGCTCATGAGATTAAGGCAGGAGGATCAAAAGTTCAAAGCTAGCCTCAGTAATTTAGCAAGGCCCTAAGTAACTTAGTAAGACCCTGTCTCTAAATACAAGATTTTTAAAGAGTTGGGGATATGGCTCAATGGTTAAGCATCCCTAGGTTCGAGCCCTGGCAAAAAGAGGGGGGAGAGGAAGGGGGGAAGGAAGGAAGGAAGGAAGAAAGAAAAGAAGGAAGGACTGATAGGATTTTAAGATTTTTAAGATGATAGAAAAAAATAAATGGTCTCCAAAACTGAAATCATGTTGTCTCACACTTCCTCCAGCCTCGTACTTTAAGAGATCAATAAACAATTATTTCTTCATCTATTCAGGGATATTAATAATTCCTTTGCAGGAATATTGTGAGAATTCAATGAAATCATGTATGGAAATTACCAAAGATTCCTATCATGTACTTATTAAATGGTAACTATTATTGTTGTTAAAATGAAAACTCATCTCTAATTTGTAAATATAACTCTTTTACCCCTTAAAAGATTTATAGAATTAGGTCTCATTCCTTCATCTCCCCAAACTGCAATAGATAGTTCTAGAATCTCTCTCATCAATGAAATCTACAGAGAACCATCTGTTTCTTTCTGAAGGTATATCAGACTCCTCTGTTCTTTTTAGTAACCTTTTTGTCTCTTCTTTTGAGACAAATTTTGTTCTCTACACTCCCTTTCCAGGTGATGACAAGTGTGCAATGTATCCTGCCATCCTCTGATTATAAAGTAGGGCAGAACTGGAGGTTGCCAAGGGAAACCATATAACCATGTGTAATGTGAAATTAAATCAAATGTCTTTAGTACCTGAGACTTGCTAAAGGGTTTTTCCTTTCTAATCCTCTGCAGGCTCCCTGCTCAAGCACGCCAGCAGGTTGGACAGAACTAATCACACAGCAGAGGCTAAAAGGCTGAATCCCAAAGAAGTCAGTATTGCCCAATTATTCAATTTTTACCACATGCTAAAAATGCCCTGGACGTGCTTCTGTTAAGGAAAAAGAAGTACATTTCTCCCTTTCAGGTCACAAAGATAATCTTAATAAATGTTCTATTCCTTAGTCAGTGGGGAAAAAATCCATTCTCTAGAGTAAGCAATTAAATTCTTTCTCCCCAATAGAACCAAATGGCATTAAAGTTATCAAGTTTAATCAAATTGATACCAGAGGCAGTATGTCATTGCCTGAAAATTCAGGAACTACACAATTTAATCCTGGAATCCAACTTTATGCAAGAATTCTAGGTAAGTCCTAAACGGAGCAGTTGAATGACCATCTGCTAAAGTGCTTATGTGTGCTCTGGTAAAACACACACATATGCGTGTACATGCAACATTCTATGCCCAGGAATGGCACTTGAGTTTAGAGTTCTGTGCTGAGGTTTATCTAGCACCAAACAGAATGGATGACAGTGAGACCAGGGATTGAGGTTGATTTAACCACAGTTGGCAGGAAGGAAGGACAGATGGGGAAGCATTAAAAAAGGCATGTTGGGGAAATATAATTCAGTAAAGTTGAAGTTTAATATATGAACATGTGTGCAAAATTGAGGGAAGAGGTTCAATGATTAGAGATGTAACTGGAACAGTCAGAATGTTTTGAGTATCACACAAGGGCATGAACCCAAAGACCAAAACCATGCCATACGAAATGCGATATCTGGGCTGGGGATGTAGCTCTACTACTGTAGAATATCTGCCTAATATGTAGGAAGCCCTAAGTTCAATACCCAGCACCATACCACAAAGCAAAGACACATTTATGTATATATAAAGTCCTGTGGTAGCAGAGAGAAAGTATATTTGATCCTTGAATCTTCTATAATTCATCACACAATAGAGCCATTTTCATACTATTGTTTTTCTTATGTGGTAGTTTAAGAGGAAAATAAAGAATTACTTATACCAAAACATTTTTTTATACATGGTAAAACATTGTAGGAGAGTCATGTGTTCCAGAAAAAATGAAGAGGATAAGAAGAGTTCACTTTTCACATTTTTATTACCTATTTGAATCTTATAAACACATCTGAGTCAGTAATTCCTGATAAAGGGAAACCAACACTTGATCAAAAGGTAAGTTCTGCCCTTTTATATATAATCTCTTGCAAGGTGGCTTATCTCTGTAGGCCTTGGTTTCTCAACCATAAGATGAAGGGATTCAATATTTAAATATTTGGGGGGTACCTCCTATGTGGTGAAATCTTTACTAAGAATAAAGAGAGGAAAGGCCAGTCTCAGACCATGAGCAAACCCATGAACTAAGAGGGAAAACTTATAATAAGCACTAATAATATTAGTAATTAATAACATCCATGAAAATAATTAAAATACAAAGTAGTAGGAGCTATGACAGGGATACAGTTGAGGGAACATGGAAAGGAATCTTAGTCTTATAGGGAAAAGAAATGACACTTATTCTGAGCTTTGAAGGATCAATTGCTCAGAATTAACTGGGGAAAGTATATTCCAAATAAAAAATTCCTAAAATGCAAAGGTCAGAGAATGCTAGGAAGGTTCTGGGAACTAACTACAAAAAGCTAAGGATGGGGCTGGGGATGTGGCTCAAGCGGTAGTGCGCTTGCCTGCCATGCGTGTGGCCTGGGTTCAATCCTCAGCACCACATACAAATAAAGATGTTGTGTCTGCCAAAAACTAAAAATAAATATTAAAATTCTCTCTCTCTCAAAAAAAAAATTAACTAATTTAAAAAAAAAGTTAAGGATGTGTGGCTGGATAATGCAAAGAAAGAAGCAGGAATGCAGATTATAGAGACATCAAATCCATATTAAGAAGTTTACATTTTACACTTAAGGCATTATGGTGCTTAGGATTTTAATCAGTGGAGTGGCACAAACCTATTTGTCTTCAGGAATGTTCACTCTGGTTGAGAATATGAGGAGGAGGATGGGAACTAAGGAATGAAGACACTTGATAAAGTAAAGCAGTGATTCAAGCAAGAAGTAGTACATTGTGGCAAAGTGGGCACAGTGGCATGTCTGTTATTCCAGTTATCAGAGAAGCTAAGGCTCCAGGATAGATGAAACAAAACAGACATGCTTCAGTCTTGACTTCCAGTGTCATAGGATAATGAGTAATAACCCACCAACTGAATTTCAGGTAGCTCTAGAGCTAATCCAACAGTGAAGCAAAAATTTCTCAATTAACATCTATATTTCCCCCTTAAGTCTGATTTTAGAAAACCAGTACCCTCACAGAACATTCATAGTGTCCAGACCTTTGTACAATGAAGTCTCAGCCTAGGAGTGCTTCTGAATTGCTGCCTGGGGCACAATATAGATTTCAAGAAATCCAGTGCCCCATCATAGAATGAGGCTGGCCTATAACAACAACTTCCTTGGAGAAACCCCGATTCTTCATGCCTAGGGATACAGAACTCTATGACTTTCATTCAGGTT